AAAAAAAAAGAACAACGCTCTCGTCTTGCATCAAATATGACAGACAGAAGGTTGGAATAGACATTATCCGTCACAGTACTATCACGGCTGCATGAATTCTGTGCAGTCACGAAAACGATACGCCATATTTGTCATAAGATGACACGATATCTAAGCGTTCCAAGAAGTAAGTATAAGGGTATCTCCATACTTCATAAGGATCGGCCGACCCTTATAACGCTTATTAGCGCAATAAAAATCAGCCGATCGAGGGTGCGCGGCGGTCGCGTTGCGCTCTTTGTTGAGTACCGATTTGGCGCGATTCGTCTCTATCCAAGCCTTTCCGCACTTTTTTCTTTCGATCTGACTCGCTTTCTTTATTCAGAGATTTCAGAATTCCAGCAAGTGTGCCGAAAAGATGAGGACGGAATCCCAGGCAAAATGGTATTTGCCTGCTGCACAGCAACGCAACCGCCGCGCACTCTCGATCGGCCGATTCTTATTGCTGTTATAAGCGTTATAAGGGTCGGCTGATCTGAAACGGCCGATCCTTATGAAGTATGGAAATAGCCTAAAGAAGCTATAGCGGTCATCACGCGCAACATCGAGAAATTGGAGATACGCTTCAAGCCCAAAACAATTAAGTGGAAAAAAGGCTTACGTGCGGTCGCCATGCATTCGGATCTTCTGATATCAGGTCTGATGCCTGCTCCCTAAAAATTGATCATCTCACTTCATGGAAATATTGTGGTTACCAACTTACTTAACAGCAACTACAGCGTTCACATCTTTGTTTGCGTCAACTGTCTTCTCAGTGATGTCTGAAGGAGCTTCTGATTTGATCCCCGTAGCGGTAGCCGCATTCTGTAAGAGATATTAGAGAATATAAGAAAAGTATAAGACCATATTTATAAACATCTCTGGGAAGGGGAGAGGAGATAAGGTGGGAGGGGGTCCGTCGAACGGAGTGAATTTGATCCCTTTGGAAAGTATGGGAGTCGCACGGGTTGCCCCTTCATGTTCGGAACACAGGATTTATTTCAATTTTACCTCATTGATTTTCTGTTGATTTTTAGTTGATTAGCCTAGCCTTGCTGCGAAGCGAAATTACTATCACTTAGGATCAAGAATTCAAAGTCCCCTAAAAATTGAAGCAATATGCCAAAATAGGATACAGCAAAACAGCAACCGAAACTGATTACGTAGAGGTATTTGCAGAAGGCTACCTAAGAATTTTGTAGCGAATTTCACCAATTTCTGTAAAACTGGCGTTATCACTCAGATTGGCACACAGTGGACCAAGTGCCTTTCACAACTCCCACTCTCTGGGAAACCATTCTCAATTTTTATTATTCCTCCATTAAGAAAATTGATAAGCTCCTTCATCCTCAATGGGGATGTTACAGAAACCACTATAACTCGGAATTTGTCAATTTTGAAAATCCTACAGTTACACCATCGTGGCGGTACTGCCTGCTGAATCCGCCACGTTGGCTCTGCCACGCTGACGCTTTGCCATGTTGTCTGTTAATTGATCTCATTTCTATCTGACTTTAGTTCTGAAGCGGAAAGAGAATTCGAAGATTTATGATCGTTCTTATGATCATTGTTTTTATATACGCATTACTCAAGTTTTTTAGTCAGCGCCAAAGTGAAGAAGGGGAAGAACGCGCAAGGTAACCAAACCGAGTCACGTTCGCATATCTTTGACACTTCCACTTTCTTCCTAGCGTTCCTTTTTGTGCCATAAGCGAGGACCTCCCCTTATTATGCTTAGGCAAAAATCGCCGAAGTAGTTGAGCAAAATGACGTATTCTACACGAGCGTTTCTCGAATTTTGTCGCTTTCCGCCCTTAATCGTGGAAGAATCATGGTGATTACGCCGACTCAGGCACAGTGAATTGAGCCACTACAACGGCCTGAGAATTGAAATCAATCAATAAACAAATTGGCAAAGCTCCAGCGGGGCGGAGTCAGTGGTCCTACCATGATAGTGTATCTGTAGGATTTTCAGAAGTGACATATTCCGAGTTATAGCGGTTCTGGATGTTACGACCATAGCCATGAAGACAGTTGGGCGTAATAGGCTGATGTCGCTGATCAGTCGATCATCAAGCTTCATAAATTATTCCAAGCGCGCGGAAGAAGTGCCCCGAAACGACCCCGTACCAAACCGCAAGTTATAGCAGCATTGTGAATATAATAAAGCTCTCGAATAACTCCAAGAGGCAACTTTTCAGTCAATCCCTTGACATTCCTCTAACACCGGCTCAAAGCAGCGGGTAGCAATGCGCTAAAGTAAAAACTACGGACTGCTTCAAAGTGGTGCTTGATCTAAGGATTTCAATGTATTGCGACCTGTAATATATCAGAATATCTC